GAGTTACTAGTGTGGATTAATCTACCTAAAGCTTCCTCCAAGATTGTGAAGATTTTTTCATAGATGGAAGGAACGTGTTTTTTTTTGCCGGACAGAGGTGGAAAAAAACTTGACCTTTTTGCATAAAGCTTCCACTAGAAGCTTACTGAAAAAGTCATTTTTATACTATTAAGCACAATCAAACAGTCATATATAATTGATCGTGTTAGGTACGAATCTCATTAAAATCATTAAATTGTTAACAAATACATATAACTGATTAATTATAATGCCAATTTTACATTGGTTATAAAGTACCAATTGGATGTCCTCATGGCAAGTTGAGTTTAAAGAGGTACAAATTGGGAGTTTTCCATATATGTAAAGTTTGCCGTTACAATGAAATTTGTGGGTTCAACGTTTTTGAGCTATTAGAGGCATTACACCTTCATTATTCTTTTTTCCATTTGATAATATGAGAACCCACTTAGTGTCTGTTTGAAGTAGTTTAAAGAGTTTAATGCAACTCACAGTTTATTAACTGTTTAGTAATGATTTAATGATATAGAAAGTGACTATTTCAACAAGCTTGTAACGGGGAAGCTATATACAAAAGCCAAGTTCCTTTCTCCAAGTATGTCATTTCATCTATGAAAAGACCTCCCCAAACAAAAAAAACTTTCTTAAACTATACAAACCGATTAATCCACAAATACAACTTTATCTATATAAGACTTAAAAGAAAACCAACCAAACAACCACTTAACAACCTATAAATGGCAATGGCATTACATTGGATGTAATTAAATTCACAACACATCAAAAGGATATTAGTTGAGAGAAGGGCTTTTAAAATATTCCGTCATTTATTAATTGGTTACAACTCATTGAAATTTATAACAAAATTAAGATCCCAACTCGTTACTTGTAAGGTGTATTATATTAATTGTCTTTGAATTTTTTTATTTAATATATTTGAAATCTTATTTTTATATTATTCACAAAAAATTCTATTGACTCGTTCAAACAAAACTAAAATAATATATAATAAAAATGTCAACTAAAACGAATAACTATTTAATAAAAGATGGATGTTTTTAAAATATATATAACCAAAGGTTATTTTGAGAAGTAAAGAATTGATTCTAGTCTTTCATACGGTCAATATCAGATTTAATTGGTCAATAATTGCAGCTAATGCCAAAAATAAATAGACTAGTTTCGTAACTTTTAAAAATATGCAACAAACATATGAACATATACTTCATATTTGTATCACATGAGTTCACAAATGAATCAGTTTGACGTCTATTTGTAAAAATTACAAAACTATTCCTCCATCTTTTTGGATATTCAATGAATTATTCGGTGTTTCACGGTCAAAACCACAATTGTTGACCAGATGAAAGACTAGAATCAAATCTTTATTTCTCAATATTGACTTTTTCTCAAATGAACATGCACACACACACACACACACACACACA